TAAATGACATTTAGAGCAACAGAGGGGCAAATAAGAAGGTGTCTTTTCAGCCCTGTAGCCAGGCTGGCAGACGGCCCTATCTTGCACTCGGCCAGACTGTCGGCAAGTGTCTTTGTCAGATTCACACTGACGCATTGTTTAAAAAGCAAATGCGCCAATTTTTGCACTGATGGGAGTGTTGGTCTTAAAATGAGGTGTGGTCAGGGACATTGTTGGCGCATTGCTATCTTGAGTCAGCAGAAGGAGACTGTGCCACTGACCAACAAAAACCTGGTCTGAAATTAGTGACGCAGCATTTTCCTGCTATTATTGGATGACATGAGCTACTTGCAGATAAATCGGTATCAGTGTTAATAACAGAAACGGAGAGTTGTATCCCTCACTCATGTCATGAATGTTGCATAGTTTGTCCACCAGAGGGCGCTTTGCAACTCCCCTGTTAACAACCCTGTCATAAATGCACCACAAAACAAAATGATCAGCTGACTGGAGTCAGCATTCATAACAAACAACCGAGTGTATCTGTGTGAGACAGTCAGTTTGTCATTTATCACGTGAAATCCATGAACTAAATAATAAAAATACGCCTCATCACTTCTCCTCTGAAAACATTAAATACTTTCTAACCCTCCCGTTTTTCATTTCCCTCACTCGTTTCCTCCCAGGTCACAGCAGTATGTTTAATGTTACAGTAGGCGAGTGTTAGGCTACGCTGTTGACAAACAGGATTGAAGATGTACTTTGTTAATAATGGGACTGCTCTAGCGGACGGTCCTATTATTTGTCCCTAGTTCTTCACTTCTAAATATTGTCTAACATCGCTTACAGCATCTGAACAATATTAATTTCAAAACACTATTTATCCCTGAGGGACAATTGACAATTGAATTCGATTTGCCCCTGGCTGTTCCGCCAGTGTGTGAATGTTATTTAGATGTTAGTCGAAAAGACTAGAAAGGCGCTATACAAGTACGGAGCATTTACATTTAGAACAATGCAAGCTGTTTACTGAATAAAAATATAAGTCAGATTATCACTGGATTGAATCGGATATAAACATATAAACAAATATATACACATACACACACACACACACGCTAGTCATATAATTAGAATATCATCAAAAAGTTGATTTATTTCAGTAATTCCATTCAAAAAGTGAAACTTGTATAATGTATACATTCATTCCACACAGACTGATATATTTCAAGTGTTCATTCCTTTTAATTTTGATGATTATAACTGACAACTAATGAAAACCTCAATCAGTATCTCAGAAAATTTGAATATTGTGAAAAGGTTCAATATTGAAGACACCTGGTGCCACACTCTAATCAGCTAATTAACTCAAAACACCTGCAAAGGCCTTTAAATGGTCTCTCAGTCTAGTTCTGTAGCTACACAATCATGGGGGAGGGCAAAGAGGCTGGCTGTTCACAGAGCTCTGTGTCCAAGCATATTAATAGAGAGGCGAAGGGAAGGAAAAGATGTGGTAGAAAAGTGTACAAGCAATAGGGATAACCGCACTCTGGAGAGGATTGTGAAATAAACCCCTTTCAAAAATGTGGGGGAGATTCACAAAGAGTGGACTGCAGCTGGAGTCAGTGCTTCAAGAAGCACCACGCACAGACGTATGCAAGACATGGGTTTCAGCTGTCGCATTCCTTGTGTCAAGCCACTCTTGAACAAGACACAGCGTCAGAAGCGTCTCACCTGGGCTAAAGACAAAAAGGACTGGACTGCTGCTGTGTGGTCCAAAGTTATGTTCTCTGATGAAAGTAAATTTTGCATTTCCTTTGGAAATCAAGGTCCCAGAGTCTGGAGGAAGAGAGGAGAGGCACAGAATCCACGTTGCTTGAAGTCCAGTGTAAAGTTTCCACAGTCAGTGATGGTTTGGGTGCCATGTCATCTGCTGGTGTTGGTCCACTGTGTTTTCTGAGGAACTTTATGGAGATGCAGATTTCATTTTCCAACAGGACTTGGCACCTGCACACAGTGCCAAAGCTACCAGTACCTGGTTTAAGGACCATGGTATCCCTGTTCTTAATTGGCCAGCAAACTGGCCTGACCTTAACCCTATAGAAAATCTATGGGGTATTGTGAAGAGGAAGATGCGATACGCGAGACCCAACAATGCAGAAGAGCTGAAGGCCACTATCAGAGCAACCTGGGCTCTCATAACACCTGAGCAGTGCCACAGACTGATCGACTCCATGCCACGCTATTCTAATTATATGACCAGCACCTGTGTGTATATATACCAAACCAACAAAATGAAGAAGAGGTTGAAGCAGAACATAAAAAATAAAGTTGGCAGTCCAGTCTAGTGTCTGATCTTCTTATGGTCCAGCTGTCCTCCCCAGAGATTAAGGAGTGCGATCCACTGGTTGTATAAAAATTTTCGACAGTTACTGTCATTCTGTGGGAAACACTTGTGTATTAGTGAATGTAGTGGTGCATATGGGATGTTGCTCTGGGACGCATCACTTGGGGATGTTCGTTTGGTTACGGGAGGTATGAGGCTGGGAGGGAAGAATTACAGTATACTTACTACAAAAAACGAGACAACCCCACTGTATATATGCAAGCTCTGATCAATATTACCAATTAGGGTATGGGGCGATATGGCGATAATAAAAATTTTATCACGATAAAAACATTTCAAATCATTTGATATTGTCACGATAAATGTCAAATCATTATTTCTTTTCAGGTTTAAAGGCTAAACCAGATGGTTAATTGTGTGGTTAAACTATTCTTAAATGTCAGAACGTGACAAACACTTGATCCCAAACAGTATATCACTTAACATATCCTGTCAAGTTTGTTTTTATAGTTCCCAACCTTTGCGGGGGAAGTAGTGCGCGCCAGAGGTGTGGACTCGAGTCACATGACTTGGACTCGAGTTAGACTCAAGTCACAAAAATGATGACTTTAGACTTGATTTTCCAAAATCAACTCTACTCTGACTTTATAACCAATGACTCGTGACTTCACTTGGACTTGAGCCTTTTGACTGGAGCTGACTTGACACTCCCTATGTTCACATATAAATTATGAAATAAAAAAACTGTGCTGGCCAGACCGGCGCACTGTGAACGGTTCTTGATCGTTCCCTCTGGCTGGATGAATTTTACGCATGATTCATGCACAACAGCTGGGGACTCTCCACAGCACCAGACAACTTTCTAAACTCTTCTAACTCACGGAAAAAAGAAAGGTCAGGTTGAAACAGTGTAGAGAAACTGCTGCTGCTGTTGCGTGAAGCCTAATTGTAGCAAAATTGCTACATATAGTATTAATAACAACAATAATAGTAATAATAAACAATGCCTAATATTTTAACATTCAGCCCCAGCTATGGTATAGTTTGCATACTGCTTCCACCAATCATAAAATCAAGTTAATTAAGATTAAACGATAATAGCACCGGGTGCCGTTTCACAAGGACACTTTTTATAATTTATAAATCCAGCGCACCCCTTTCCTTTACAGGCTCTCATCTCTCCCTAAAAGCCCAAACTCCCTCTCAGCAGCTTTGATGTTTAATTCAGCTTGGGCCAAAGTGACTCGGCATTGTAACTGCTATAACTTCCTATTTAACATTAATAGCTTCAGCCTACGGCATCTTGCTCTATAGGCTAAAGGATAAGCAGCTATAGTTAAGAATAAATGTATATTATTTATTCTAAACCAGGTGTGTTCAGTGTTGCTTTACCTGGTCGTTGCTTGTAAAATATCCACTGTGTCTGTGTTTTCTAACCGATTTGTAGTTTTCTCACCGTTAATTTAAGTCAATGCATCTCCCGACCACAGTTGTATTTCAGCTTTATGTAAAGTAACTTCATCAACTGGAGTTCACCTGTCACCTGCTCTGCTCCCCTCCGTGCGCACACACACACACACACACACACACACACACACACACACACACACACACACACACACACACACACACCCCTCAGTGACCCATCTGTCACACAAAGCAGTCAACTTGGGGGAACGGCGCTGCTGTCGTCCTCTTGCAGTCTGGATGTTGCTTCAAGTTAATAATTTTGGATTATTTCTTATTTAATGGGCTGTTTGGGATATTGGAGGAATGCATATATAGTAGTTTTTGAAAGGAAGTATTACATTTTAAAAGTTCAATAGATTGTTTCCTATTTCAATGAGTAATCCTGTTAAATAATTGTGATCTCAATATTTACCAAATTAATTAGCAGCCCTACATGAACATTTAATTTCATTCATGTAATTATAGAAAATCTGTTATGTGAAACTGCGCCTCTGCCTTCTTTCTGTACAGGCTAAAGCTTCATTCCTTTACATTTAGTCATTTAGCTGACGCTTTAATCCATAGCGACTTAAAATTGCTATTTATGTCTCGACTTGGGACCTGAGTGCTAAAACTTGAGACTTATTTGTGACTTGTAAAACAATGACTTGGTCCCACCTCTGGCGTTTGCACATTTCCAGCCCTGTTTGTGAATATGCATGGTCCCTTTTGGTTTACATGTTAAAATTACCATAACATTGTATAACATTATTCTTGTCACAACTATAAAATAAACTGAAGTTTTAATAAATCTAGAAGTGAGTTTCAGACAGACATTAAGGCTAACAGCTTTCACAAAAGTAAAAGGAGCAAAACACAGAGGATCAACAGCGCAAGTAAAGTTTCCCTTAACTGCCGAACCGGAAGTAAACTTCAGCTTTCTCCAGTCTTAGCTAGCTAGCTAGCATGCTAACACCCAGGCAGCAGGCTACATGCTACAAGAGACCTCCTCCTGCTCCTGCTCCTCCTCCTCCTCCTCCTCTCCGGTCCGACCGTCACATTAAGTGTGGGTTCTGTAGAGATACGGGGTTCTGATGGCTCCACTGTTGAATCCTGCTACATTACATCTTGTTTACAGTCAATATGAAGCTACGTGTCGGAACCAGGCCGAGCTAACGCCACGTTAGCTTCTTGTTAGCTGCTAGCTGTGTTCATGAACACTGACCTGAACATCGGTGCTATCAGAGCTCGAGCCTGCTGTTTGTCCTCCGGGGACGTTGTTGCTCCGGGGCTCCGGGTCCTGGTTGTCCTCCTCCATCCCGCTCTTGGTCCTGGTCGCTGAGATCCAGCAGGTCTCCTCTGTGACTGTCGGAGCTCTTCAGATTCAGGAGCGCTGCGGGACCTCGTGGATCTCCGTGTTCTCGCGATCTCACAGATTCTGGATCAGTTTGAGAAGCATGAATATTCTCTGAGAAGGAAAACTATACATACAACCTCCAACGTATAGAAAGCAATTTTCTACTCGGCATCATGAAAATGGCTATAAAGCTGTGAGGGTTAGGGACTCACGAGGCAGAAACACATTGGTTACAGCGCCCCCATGTGGAAAAGTGTGGTAATTTTCTATATGTATGATGACGGAGGAGAGAGTAAAGTCTGATGTGCTTAGATTTATCACTCCATGGTAAATGAGGAGATGTCAACAACAACAAGTCAAACAAAACAACAACAGGAGTTTGGTCCTTCAGCTTTAAACCTGTGCACTAGAGCCATTCACACACCAGGAAACTGGACAGATGAATGTCTCACAACAAGGTTATATCAGTGAGGAAGTGGTGATGAAAGACTGGTGTGTCATGTGATGTTTTTTCTTCAACACAGATGTGTCGTGATGGTGTAACCTTCCCCTCCATGTTTCTGCTGGGACGTCCTCACTGGCAACGTGTTGTCTCTGGGTCATTCTGCTTCCTCCATCATCCTGCTGAAACAGTCTGCTTGTTGATTGGTCTGCTGATCTGATGAACAGTAAAAGTGAAAAATATAATATTAATATTCTTCCAGAAGTGTAAAAGGAAACAGCAGCAGCAGCAGAGGCTCTGAACGTCTCCATGATGATTCAGCAAATGGAAATGATTCCATGTGTGGAATCGAAATCAGAAATGAATCCTAAAAACTTTGTCTGCTTCCTCTTCTTCAGCCAAAAGATCCAGAACCAGAAACACCTGCAGCAAGCAAAGAGAGGAAAGGGATGAGAAAGCACAAGACTAAGGGAAAACATGTATTATGGGATACAGTTTCATACAGATGGAGAGAGAGAAGGAGAGGAGCTCAGTAAAAACACAGACAAACACCAAACCAAGCTTCAGTATTAGTGGACATGTGGAACTGGTTCTGGTTAATTCGGTTCCTGTGTCGAATGTTGGCACAAAACATTCTTCCTACGACATTAATTAAATATGGTGTACCAATTAATGCATATTTGAATATGCGCTGCAAAGTTTCTATCTTTTGTTTCTTTAATAACAGTCTCTCCATATTTTATGACAGCATCTGGCCTCTTATCTCTGATCACATCAGGCTAAGAGGAAGGTCTGTGTGTGTTCAGTCTCTTCTCCTTGTTAGAACAATCAAAGAGAAAACCTATTATAGCAGGACTGGTTGTTTCTATTAAAGGTAACAGGATACAAACCCTCTGCACACAGTTTGCTCCTCCAGTGAAAACTATTATCTGTTGAACACACTGAAGCTCCTCTGCTGCCTCCTGCTGGACAAACTGGAGAGCTCCTCAGGAAACATTCACATTAACACAACAGCTACATTTACTAAACTACTGTACTGAAGTAAAACACACAATAGCTTCACCTGAGCTGTTACAAACAGGGCTCAAAATGTCTGTGATGGAGCTCTCGTGCACTTAATGATTTGACAGTGGGACAGCTCCTAAGCCCTCACAGACTTACCGGGAAAACACCTGAAAGTCTGTTTGTATGGACATTGAGATTGGACCAATGGCTCCTTGATTTCAGGCAGAAGATTAATGTACTTAGGTGGTTTTCTTTTTGCCATGTTTGTACAGTAGCCAAATGGACAACCGGCTCTACAGAGCGTGTATTTGTCACAACGTTGAATACGAACAAAAAAGAAGAAAAACAAATAAAGTTACAAGTAGTAGTAGTCGACTGGTTTATTAGAAGTAAGAAATTTGGACAAATGGAGGCCACACATATTATTTAGCACAAGAGCTGATAGAGCGCGTTGGCCATCGTAGCTTCTCCTCCCTGCTTGGAAAAGGGAGAGCAATGAATTCATGTGGTGTCGAAATAATCAATCCTTTTTTGCCTCCTTAAATCTTTATTGCAAAAAGAGAATAAAGAAGTATACATGTAATGTGTAACATGATTATAACAGTTAGTTTGCTGTCCATGTAGAGTGAACTAGACGTCTGTGTGTTGTTTATATGCTCTGATAATGTAAATCCGACACATTTCTGTAGTAGCGTCCATGTTGATTCCACATTCAGACTTAAGAGCACATGAACACACACTGAAGTCTGAAGAAAAATTTCACAACTCAGGATTTGAAGTGAATTGAATTTGCAACCGTCATCACTAGATGCCACTAAAATTTTCACACCGAACCTTTAAAGTTAAGTAACGTTACTTGCTAAGTGGTAAGTTAGCCACAATTGCATCCCAAAAAAACAAAAACAAGTGGCCCCCTGCAAAGAGGATAAAAGCACTTTATGTTTACATCATCCATTTGCATGTACATTAATGAATTAATGCATAGGACCCTACATGCTTAAAAGTTCAGTATATCAAAAGGTTCTACCCTTTTATTTTCTGCTTGTTATAGACTGTTACAGTATTTTTCCTTTCTTTTTATTTCCCCTTAATGTATTTATTGTATGAAACAAACACCAAGGCAAATTGGAAAACCATCAAGCCTACTTTGTATTAAAATGCTGATAAATTATTATTTATTTTTTGAGAATAATATGAAATATAATAAATAACAACAGTAATACAGTTGTGATATTAATACATTTTAAACAACACATACAATAGCAGCTTCCTGTTACTGGTTCAAATGGCGTTCCCACCAGATTTGAACCGCTCCAAGTTTAACCCAACCCAAACAAATTACCCAACCCAAACAAACTACCAAAAAAAACCCTGCAGGGGTTTGGTTCCATGTGACTGAACAAGGCTGGTGTGAACCCGCCCTGAGACTCAATGGTAATGACTTTTAAATGATTAAATGAAATTTAAAAAAGGTTAAAAATGTGAAGGTTGGCCTTGAACCCCTACAATTGGTACGTGAATTTGTGGGATTATTTTCAATGTTATGTGCTTGAAAAATAAAACAATGAAGATATCACCTTTCTGAAGAACCAAGTTAAAGTGAAGAAAATTTATCAGAGGAGGACTTTGTACCTGATTCTTGGCTTGCAAGTACAAGTATCAGGATTTCAGGGTAAAGTTAGCAAAGGCAATACTGCAGACTGATATAAAATGACTATTTATTAGTCTTTTGTTGACTTCATATGAAAGCCCTGACACCGCTCGCTGCTTGACCCCAAACAAATCTGTCAGATTTATACTACGCTGTAACTGACATAACAGTTGTGATATAGTTCTTGATATGTAATGTTAACACTTTTGGTTGTTTTGGTTGATACGTCTTTAGCAGCCTGGAACGAGAACACAGATGAGAGGGATAAACAGAGGGACAGCAGAAGGAAAGGACAATCTTGTAATTACACACAACACATATTGGATATAGGAGCTGTGTTCAGGTAGTTTCGTCCTTACGGTCCTCTACAATGTTCAGATAATTACTCTATAATACAGTTTTCATTAGTGAGGCTCTGATCCAGTCGATCTCTATCGGCGTTGATACAGATGTTATTAAGCAGATACCATCCAAACACAGTTTCTTCATCGCTGCCATTTTAAAATTGTGTATTTTTGTGTAGGTCAGAGTCGTAGTGAGCCACCACCTCAGTTTTTAAAGCCACAGCAATCAGTGGTGCTATTGTGTTCATCATAATATGTGATTCTGTTGCTCAAACGGCTTCTTCAGAGCAGACGGCGTCTTTGTTGTTCTGCTGTAGATTTGCTGCACTGAGCTAATGTTGACATGTAAAACTGCTGCTGTCAGTAATTCCTTCCTTCCTGCATGCGCTTAACAAAACAAGCATATTAGAGGCAGTAGTAAGATTTTATTGTGAAACTAGAAGTTTTGATGGTGCGATTTGGGGTTAGACACTTTATTTCACAGCCCACAAGACTAAACTACTATAAACTTTAGAGGGGGCTCTTGTTAAAGTATGTCCTCACAGATCAGGTCGGTGTTTGTAATGCACAGTGTTGTGTGTTGTGCAAACAATGTGCTGTTATTTTTGATAGACTTCAGTGTGTGTGTGTATGAGTGAGATAACGAGGGAGCAGACAGGATGCTGACTGTTTACTTCTGTGGTCTGGCGGAAAGACTTTCTTATCACAAACCAGAAGGCGGTTTCATCACCACTGTTTGTTCAGCTTCCCTGCTCCATCAGATTAGCTGTCGGTCCCCCTAAAGACAGTAAAACCCGACACCGCCCTGTGTGTGAGGGAGGGAGGAAGGCAGGGAGGCAGGGAGGGGTGAGGGGGGGAGGAAGGCAGGAAGGCAGGGAGGGGTGAGGGGGCTGGAGCCACAATCTCATTTCACACTGAAGACACACACATGCTGCACCAGATTAGAGACAGCACAGAGAGGAACATTTAATTTTATTTAAATTCAACACTTTTAAAAGCTTTTCATGCATGACAAAAATCTCTTTTTGCTGTTTGAATGACAAACCCGGCATTTTAACTATTTCTGGTTGTATCACCGGTAACAGCGGATTTGTGGAGCAACCTGCATGCAGGCACCCCACAACATCACACGGATGTGCCCCAGAGACAGCTTGTGTTTATTCGCGATAACGACTGTCTCGCTCAAGTGGAAAATTTTGACGAAGGCCCTTCGCGCCACCCGACAGGAAATCGCGGCTCTACGCATCTTTGCATTGACTTTGCATGTAAATGCACAGCCAAAAACACTCGCTTGGCTTTTGGTCTGAAAGCACCTTCACAGATGAAAACTTAGTGTCACACAGGTGCATCATTTGGATTCCTTCAATCTTTCCTAAATCATGTTTCCTTCTGTGTGCACTACATGGAGGATCAATCCACCAGGATAAGATATTTTTCTTTTTTTAAATGACTCTTAATCCTCAGCCCTTCCCATTCCTGGTGTCCTCATCTCCTCTTTCCTCTCCATGGGGT